GGTCAGAACAAATTTAAGTTGTTACTAAAACAATGAACAAAGTGCCCTTACTCAGAAGAGTCAAGTTCATTATTTATTCATTTGCATGTGGACTCTTTCAAAGGGCACACTCTTCAAATAAAATTTCCCAACACTTTTCCAAATGTCCTTTTTTTTCACATGGAGAGGGCTGTCACCTCTGCTTTTGAATGGAGGGCAGTGACCATCCCCTAATATGGTACCTGTGATGCTGCTCTGCACATCGTGGGGAATTTTAAAGCTCAACAAATTCACAAAATGCAAGGTATACTTTACAAATGAAGTTAGGTAATCAGCTGCTATCTAGGTCTTCTCTGACATGTCAGACCAATGGTTTGAAAATCAAACCAGGTCTCACGGCTGAGACCCAGCGGGTACTCTCACCTCTCTCTCACCCTTCGTACTCCGTGAGCTGCCGACACAGCATCGTAGGAGTAGATCTGAAATGTATCCCCACTCTCGAGTGCGAGTGGTGCCTGCTCTGTCTCTGTAGTCAGCTTGCGGGAGGACGGGGAGGGTGTGGATGGGAGCCACTTGGCATCTTGGGTGGGCCAGCAGCGCAGCTGACATGACAAATTCTGTGTGGACACTCTGCTCATGAGGGAGTTGTATCCAAGCATGCTTCCATGCTGTGAGCTCCTCTCTGAGACTGTCCACAGAGGGGCAAGCCACAGGAATACGGGCCCCAGAGCAGAAACAACAAGGGAGGGGTGAGTCTTAAAGAACGGTATTTCCCAAATTGGGCTGATCTATGGCATCCCCGATGAAGCATTTTTAAAAACAGGCTCTTTCACCCCCAAGATTCTGATTGAGTAGATATGGGGCATGGCCAGGAATTGGTGTCGTTTGAACAGTTCCCTGAGTGACTGTGATGATTAGCTAATGTGGGAGCCAGTGACATTGCCCTGGTTTTCCATTCCAACCTCACCTCCATACAGTGGCACCCGTCTTCTCTTTGGCCTGAGCGTCTGCGGGAGACTGAGCCCCCAACTCTCTCCTGTCCAGTCTCCAGGGCTCAGGACCTGCTTCCCAGCCCCCTGCCTGCCCCAGCACAGTAAGGTGTGGATACCCACCTACAGCATCATCATGGTACAGAAGTAATAGATACAGACAGGAATGCAGAGCCATGTGTATTTGGTAGAAAAAAAATAAGAATGACAAATATGGAGCCTGAAGAAAGCAAGAATAAGGGGGGATTTCATGAGGAGCTTCCCATTTGTAAACGAATGCTCTACACATCAGTTCTCTATTCTGTGAGCTAGAACATAAGGAAAGGGTCCAAACTGAAGCTAGAGGCTTGTAGGTTAGACTAAGAGATAATATGTGACCTAAAGGGACAAGACATACCAGGAGGAGCTAAGTGCGGCTGCAGGGTCTCTGTCACAGAGATCTTCCTGATTAAGCCCAGGATGGCCGGAGGACGGATCAGCACACAGCCAGGTATCAGTTGCAGGCTAACGCTCTTCCCTATAGCATTTTCCATGAGAAAAGCTGTCCTCATTGGGACATGCCTGTGGAACTTGCCCTTGACTATCTTGAAAGGTCACCATGAACCTTTTGCATTTTCCCCGTAGGTCTTGGCACTGGTGGGTAATGTGAGGCAGTGGTACAACCTCGTTCTGTGGGCTCCTCTTGTGTGAAACTAGATGTGATGCACTCAGAGACAAAATACTCAGGCCCAACCTTATGAGCACTGGGCGCTACCAAAATGAGTGAGGCTGTTGTTTGCAAACTGATAATCATCCGCTGAGTCATACTTGCTCATCAACTCCATGGGCCTGGCTGATCTCAGCACTGGAGATCCAGTGCGGAATTAGACGCAGGCTGCCTGCCCCCACAGAGCTTAGGTTTTCCTCCAAGACACAGAGAGGAAGGAGATAAATAAACAAGATAACTTTGACAGTGAAGAGGGTTGTGATCGAGAATGGTAAGGGCCAGGGGATGGACTGGGGCGTTGGGACATACCTCATGGGGGGTGGTGCCAGAACTGACAATGGCAGGGTGGGCAGAAGGCCCAGCTGGGTAAAGAGGTGGGAGAGGAGTCTGACAAAGGTCCTGGGGTGGAAACCAGCTGGCGTGTTCAGTGGACAGGAAGGAAGCCGATGGACTGAAGTAGAGTAAGCAAGGGATGAAATGGGAAGAAATGAGGTTTGAGGGGAGCCAGAGCCCAGGTCATGTCAGCCTTGGGGTCTGGCACAGAGTTTAGATGCCTTCTCAGTCCACGGTCATTCGGCTTCAGGCCTTTGTGTGATGTTCTAGATGAGGTTACATATTAAGGATTCACTGGTGTTACTAGTGGAGGGCGCCGATGGCTTCAGCCCAGACTACTCCTTTACAGGCAGGGAGGCCTGCAGAGGGACAGTGGAGAAGGGGGTCCCTCTGAGAGTGTGAGTGGGGAGGGGCTGTCTCCAGTCTGAAACCAGGCAGGACACCCTGGGGAACAGTGGGGACTGGGGTCAGGGAGGGAGAGGAGCTCAGCCCAGTCCTGGAACCCAGGAAGGCCAAGGCAGCTGGTCAGGAAAGAGAGAACGTGAAGCAGGAAGCTGTCTGGGGAGCCTGAGGGGTCAGAGTAAGCAGGCTGGACCTCAGGATGGGAGACAGGGAGCCAGAGTCTGTTTTTCTATGTGTGCTGGGAAAACTGAGCAGTGGGAGGATTAAAGAATGTTTTCCATTTTAGCCACAAATTATACTGCATTCAGCCCTGGGCTTCAGGCATGCCTGTAGACTTAGGTGCTGTGCCATGTGACTGCCTCAGGGTCCTTTGCCAAGACTTCCCTCCTCAATGGAGGTCCTGTCCCTAATAGTCTTTCTCTATCTCTAGACTCTCTAGATGGCTCTGGGCCTTAGTCATGGGCAGGTCCACAGGGCTCAGCCCAAGAGGCTGTGTGTGCTTGGGCTGTGGGGACCAAGACCCGTCTGGGGGCCATCAGGCTCAGTGTGGAAGGAGGGACATGCACTCCAAAGCTGGCCTCACTCTTCTGGACACGCCATGAAGGCTTCCTGGAGGAGGAGCTATGTTAGGAGAGAGAACTAAAGAGAGAGAAGTTGGTAAAGTTAATGGGATCTCTTTTCCTAGGGGAGATGTTTTTGAGAGTTCTTGAGGGCTGACCCAACAGAGGGAGCACTGAGCAGCCGTGAGTGAGCGCAGAGTGGCACCAGAACGGCAGGATGAGGCCACACAGGAGGGTTGTGTAGCTTTGGAACAGGAAGAGCGGCCCCTGGGTCTGTGCTGTAGGATGCATTGCCCAAAGTGAACTGGGGTTTCTTTGTTACTTTGACAAGGAAACTTCGCCTAATGTGTTCCAGCCAGAGCCAAGGTCCCTGGTGGACCCAGCCATCGTAATGATGGTAATGATATTAGGTAACAAGTACTGGGTTCGAGCTGGGTGCCAGGCACCGGCCCAGGCTGATTCCCATGTGTTACCTCGTTTCATCTTCACAGAAGCTGTCTTGCACAGCTGCAGTATTTTCAGTCTCATGTTTAGGGATGCGGGAGTTGAGGTGTAGAGAAGCTGGTCACATCGTAAGTGGGCAAGCTGGGAATCAGACCCAGACAGCTGCCTCCAGACTCACCTGCCTTGCAGAGTTCTTGGGGACACCACTGGCTCTCCCAACCAGGCTGGTGGGAGGCCCAGCTCTAGCAAGGAAGAAGCTAAGGGGGGCGAGAAGGAAGATAAATGACCAAAGAATGTGTGTTTGTTTTTTTTTTCTTTTGAAATGCAACTTTATGGCTCCATCTTACAGATTGCTGACCCCCAGCTCTGGGCCTTGCTGCCTTTTTCCTCATTATTTTATTCAGTGTTATTCATCTAGAGGGCTCCAGAAATTCCCAACACAACGCCTATCAGTTTGTGGCTTTCATTTATGTAGTGAAAGGGGACTGAATCCCATCTCTGCCTCTAACACACACTGTCCTGTGAGTGGCGGAGTCTAGCACATGGGCTGCTTCGGCTGTGACTCTCCGCTGAACCTGGGCTGAGGTGTCCCCCTCACAGTGATGCACCAGTGGGTCAGCTGATGAAAGTGAATAAAGCTCCTTAACTCTGAGACCTGCAGCCGCACAGGACCAGGCTGTCACCCCTCCTGTCCCAGAGCCCGGGCGTCCCTGGGTTTTCTTGGGTCCTCACCTCTGATAGTGCCCCAAGGACACTCCAGTGGAAAAGTATCTTGCACTTCTTCTCATCGCCCCTCTCTGCCTAGTGTTTCACCCCTTCTCAACCCACCATCCTCCACATCTCCCATGTATTCATGTCTCCCACAACCAGCTGTGTCAAATCATGGCACATCAGAGGCATCGAGCACAGGGACCCCAGGAGTGGCACTGGGTCAACTTTGAGAGCTTGCACTCTTGACAATGACACTGGAATAAACTACTGATACTTGACCCTTATTCAGACACTGTGGAACCTGGACTAAGACTTTTCTTTAGAGTTCCACCTAACCCGCCTTTTCAGTCAATCTCCCAATCCTACTCTTGCATGGGGCCCCTGCCTGGACCAGCTCCCATCGGTCATGACATTTACCCAGTCCTTGTTCACCCAACTCCTTGGAAATAGGTAGTTCCCCCAGATGATTTCCCTCAGAAACCCCATCCAAGCACTGCCAATCCTCTGCACCCTCAGTTCTCCATGGTATTGCCCCTGACCAGAGTGGGGGGTTGGATTCAGTCACCACCATGTCGAGAGAAGACCTCCATCTATTGTGATGGTTGGATCCCTTGTCTCAGGAAATCAAGGCAAAGTGTCCCTAAAGGCGGGGCTGAGGGAGGGACTGTCAATCTTTCTCCCACCTAGCATCGGCCTCACTGAAGGGTCGAAGCCATGCCCTCCTTGCCTCCTTGCACAGAGAGGGACCCAGGTGAGGCTGGTTAGGTGTGTCTACGAACCTGATGGGAGACACACTGATTGCACAAACATTTCTTCAGCTCACACTATGTACCTGCTGCTGTGCTTGAACACCAGGTACATACAGACAAGTAAGACATGGCCTCTGCTCTCCTGGAGCTGGAAGTCCATGAGGAAGAGAGACAAGGACATCAGCAGTTAGAGCAGAAGGTAATGAGACCGAAGATGCTCAGGGCCTGACCTGTGGCATCAACAGTAGAAAGGAAAGGAGGAGCAGATGAGGAGAAGGTTTACGGAGCTAGATTCTATAGGACTTGGGGCAGCTTGAGGTGAGCATGGGGGAGGAAACAGCCCAAGCAAATGCCTCAGGTTCAGGCTTTCTCTGCTCAAAGGGTCATGGTTCAGTCCACTGAGTCAGGGGATATAAAAGAAGAAGAAGGTTTATGGAGCAAGATGATTCTTCTGGGACATTTTGAGCTTGGGACATTCCATTGAGCCTGTACCCTTGAGTTCCCTCCCTAAAGCCCATAACTTCAGTCTAATTATGAGGAAAACTTTGGCTAAGCCTATATTAAGGAACATTCTATAAAATACTTGACCAGTCGGGCGCCTGGGTGGCTCAGTCGGTTAGGCGACTGCCTTCGGCTCAGGTCATGATCCCAGGGTCCTGGGGTTGAGTCCCACATCGGGCTTGCTGCTCAGCGGGAAGCCTGCTTCTCCCTCTCCCTCTGCCTGCCACTCCTCCTGCTTGTGCTCTCTATCTCTCTGACAAATAAATAAATAAAATCTTTAAAAAAAAATAAAATACTTGACCAGTAATCGTCAAAAAAAAAAAAAAAGGTCATCAACAACAAGGAAGTCTGAGAAACCATCATAATCTACAGAAGCCTAAGGAGATAGGATGATTAATAATAATGTGGCCTCTTGGATGGGACCTTGGAACAGAAAAAGGATATTAGGTAAAAATTAAGAAAATCCAAATAAAATATAAACTAGGTAATAATGTACAATATGGGTTCATTTGTTGTGAAAAATATACCCATATTAATAGGTTAATAGGGGAAACTGAATATATATACCTAGACTGTACCATCTTTGAAGCTTTTCTGTAAATCTAAAGATCTTCTAAAATAAAAAGTTTATTAAAAGAAAGAAAGTAGAGGGAGAAATTCTCATACGTTACTGGTGCAAATGCAGAATGGCGTGGTCATTTTGGAAAACGGTCTGGCAGTTGCTTAGAAAATCAAACATAAAGTTACCCTATGACTTAGCAATTCCACAACTTGGTATTTCACTAAGGGAAATGAAAACCAGTGCTCACACCGAAAGCAGTACATGAAGACTTATAATGGCTTTATTTGTAATCGCAGGAAACTGGAAACAGCCCAGACATCTCTCAGTAAATGGACAATGGCACGTCCATACAATGAAATGCTACTTAGCAATGAGAAGGAACAAGCCCCTGAGAATGCCACAGGGATGAATCTCAACTGTGTTGTGATAAATGAAGGAAGTCAGACTCGAAAGGCTCCACACTGTCTGAGTTTACTTACATGGCATTCTAGGAAAGGCAAAACTGAAGGCACACGTGGCAGGTCATGCTAGGAGCTGGAGATCGGGGGGATGGACTCCAAAGAGACATGGGGCGGGGGGTGGAATACTGAGTGAATTGGAATTGTTCCTTGTCCTGATTGTGGTTGTGGCTACATGACAGTGTATGTTCTTCACAGCTCCCAGAACTGCACGCTAATAAGTTGAATTTTGCTATATGCAAATTGTACCTTGATTAAAAATGAAAAAACAACTCAGGGATGATTGGCCACTTTTCAAAACTGCTCTCCACGGGATTTGGTTAAATAGTATCCTCACCTGCTGTACTTTCACTGCTCCCATTTCCAACTGCTCAGTCTGCCAAAAGGGCACTTGGGTGGTGGTATGTGAATATCACTGTGCTGTTTGCTATTTGGAGACTCGGAAGTGGGAGCTGCAGTCCAGGGACAAAGACCCAAGACAGCAGAGACAAAGAAACACAGATGACAGCTAGGCTTGTATCTTAACAATGGGGACATTAGCTAAGTGCTTCCTAATCACCTGCTTTTGATATAATCATGAAGCTGATGAGCTCTTACTTTTGTACGGCGCCTTATAGCTTACAAAGCTCTCACAGCCACTCACTCATGATCCACACAATGCCTCTGTCGCTTAGGTGAGACAAGTGTTGTCACCTCCAGTGTTAAAAGGAGATGGAGTGGGGCGCCTGGGTGGTTCTGTCCACTGAGCATCTGACTCTTGGTTTCAGCTCAGGTCACGATCTCAGGGTCATGGGTTCGAGCCCCACATTGGGCTCTGCACTCGGAGCAGAGTCTGCCTGAGATTCTTCCTTTCCCTCTCCCTCTGCCCACCCCCCCCCACCACTTGTGTGTGCACTTGCTCTCTCTCTCTCTCAAATAAATAAATAAACAAAATCTTTTAAAAAAAGGAGAGGGAGGTACTGAGAGTTCGCACTTAGCCCTGTGTACAGGTGCACTGGCTTGGCCCTCTCCATAGGTTGGTAATCCATATAAGACACATGGTAATTTGGTGTGGTATTACTATCTTATGTATTTTACAAATAAGAAAATAATTACTTTATAGATGATGAAACAGGTTCTAGGAATTTTCTGAGGTCACTTGACTAGTAAGTATTAGAGGCAAGAGTTAAAATCAGATGTTCAGCTTCCAAGCCTACTTCTCTCTCTTTTATCCCATATTCTGGCAATGGGACTTTCCTGCATAGTGTATTCAAATTAATGCCATTTTGCCATGAATCTTCACCTCTTTAATGTGCCAGTGAGTGGACAGTTTTCGTTAGCTTCCACCATCAGGGTCGGTTACTACACAGAAAGTGTACTTTACTCACTGTCATCTTTACTAGTGACTTTGGGGGCTTGGAAGCAGTCCGCAATCTTTGTGTTTCTCTCAGCCCTTGTGTTTGGATAGTATCTGAATGTATGAGAACTGTATGTATGCTGGAAGCTGTGACTTCCAGAAGAAAACAAAACAAAACAAAAAACCCCCAAAAAACCTCATCAGGGTAAGCATGAGAGGGAAGCTGAATTTTCAACAAACACCAGAACATCTACATCAATATGAGTCTTTTTCTCTCAGATAGCTGCTTTGAGAGGATATCCAATTCAGTTGCTTTTTAGTTGTCTCAGTTTTATTTAAAATAATAACACCATGTGCCTTACCGGGATTAGCTCTGGAAATCCTTTTCTTCGATTCCTTGGCGGTCTCTGAGCTCCTTCTGGGCAGGGCTGAGCCTTCTCCCCTCTGTGTCCTCAGGGATCCAGAGCATGGCCCTCCAGGGTGTTCAGACTGTGTCTCTTGAGTGGAACTGAACCAGAACTCATTCTCCAGGACAAAGCTGTCACTGCAGGGTGGGGGCTGGTCCACAGACACCTCATCCCCCTTGACCTCTGGCCTGAAGAACGTGGACGACGACCATGCAGGAAGCCTTAGCCCAAACTATTTCAGATGCCTGACTTTGCCCACTGGTTTATTAGTCATTCTGTATAATTGTACTTCTTTCTTTGAGCCCACTTCACCTTGGCCGTATTTCCTGCTTCCGTTTCTGTCATTTCTTCCAGGACTGTCCAGCTCTGTCCTGGGGGCCACTCCAAGCCTCATCTCACCCTCACTGACTGGTTTTTCTCACCCCTTCCCTCACGCCATGGACCAAACATAGGTTTTTCCACCCCTCCTTGCCCTGTTCCTCACTCAGAAGCCCCAGTGGGGAAGAACTGGTAACCCATGGAACCTCTAACTGGATTTTTCCTGGATCCACCGCTGATATTTCAGAGCACCCCTGATTTGCTGGCCTTTAAGGCAGAACCTCTCATCTCTAGGCCAGAGAGCAGGAAAAGAGAGAATCATCACAACCCTCCCTGTACTGAGGGGGCCTCAGGAAGAGCCTGCCGTGCTCTGCCATATTTCCATCCAGAATCCCTATTGAGTGTTATCATCCACCACTCAGCCTCAGTTTTCCTCATCAAAATTTTAGAGGAAAATATCACCATTGTGAGTTAAACTAAGAATGAACACTGAAGGAGATAAGTAAAAGAAAGCTCTTCCCTCTTAATATTGGCTTAACTTAAAATATGAACGAGCCTTATTCCAGTCCTAATAGAAATAAGTTTATATGCTCCCACCTATTCAGAATGGTTGCAATCTATAGTTACCTATTCTCACTATGTGATGGAAAGTCTGCTGGTCTCGGAGACTAGAGCCTGAATTCTATCACGCCGTCTATGAAAGCTGAGTATCGCTTGCTTATGTCATCTGGGAATGACGTTGCTAATCACTGAGTGGCTTCTGCCCTAACACTCACTTGCACCCGCATTATTGAGCCAGCTCAGCCCTATGCTCAGTTCCAGCGTGCAGTGAGAAAGACACGTCCTTCCTTTCTCAAGTTGCCCCCAGCCTCACTCTCCAGATAACCCTCTCTCTCAAAGAGCAAGTGATTCCTGAAGCTTTTTGGTGCAGGTGTCCCTTCGGTCTCATTAGACGGTGAGCCCCCCAGAGTAGTGATCATATCCACTTTCTTCTGTTTCCCCACTATGCCTGGCCCCAAGGTCTGCAAGTGGTGGGCACCCACTGGCTTTTAGAAAGAAGTCTTTCAAGCCAGGAGGGCTCTTAGCCTACAGTACAAGCTCTCAAAGGCTAGATGGCACTGTTGCTAGAGCCAAATCAGGTGTGTTGGGGAAGAAGCAGGAGGTGGGAAGAGAAACCAGAGCAGGAGTCCCTGGACTGTTGACTTGCTGAGTTTGACTCAGACTTGTTACAGAGATGCGTGAGGACTCCTGCCAGCTTTGCTTCAATAGGTCTTCACCACAACCATGGTAATAGACAGGACACTGCACCAATTCTAACTTTATAAAAAAGCAGCTCAGAGAAATCAAGTGCCCGGGCTCAAGTTAAATGGCAGCTAATGAGCAAGGATTTCTGCAATCCGTGCCTTGTTGGCATTGCCCTGCCAGGATGAAGCCCCTGGAGTTTGACCAAGGAGGACTGTGGTTGGTGGTATGGCTGTCCCAGGACAGTGGCTTGGGTGAACTGGACCCAGTCTGAGCAGAAAAGGTAGAGTTTGCAGACCTCTGCCTCAAAATGTTTACTTTTGTGACCAGGGGAGAATATAGTCATTTTAGAGGAAACAAATGATAACACATACAGGTTCTTTGAAGAACGGCAATTGTAGGTGATTTGTACACTCGCTAGGATCTAAGGTGAATGGTTGATGTTTCATTTAAAGAATGAATTATTTTGAGATGCCGCTCTGTGGTTGGGTTCTATCTGTCATTTGTCCATTGCTTCATTATGTTCACGTGTTTCTCATTAAAATGAAACAAAGCAAACAAGACCATCCCGTGCAGTAGGCAGGTTGAGTGTCATGACTGTGCCCTTTTAACAGATGAAGAAATAGAGGGTCAGAAATGATCCCATGGCTGATCACTGAAACTTCAGCTCAGTATGAGGCCAGAATCAAATCTTGTCCTCTTTGGAAAAACCACAGTTGTTCCAGGCTATGCAGAAATCACAAAATTAGGTGGGCTGTTGTGGATACGAAGAGTAAGGCATCAGAGACTAGGAAAATACCTATTCAGAGTAATGAATGATTAAAGATATGCAAATGTGTGCAAATTTGAGAGAAAATTGATACATCTGTTGTTTGTGCCATCTGATTGTTTGTATTCTCCTGTTTCCCCAGAATGATGAAGATAAGCTGACCTGGAAAGATCGTTTCCCGGGTTACTTGGTGAACTTCGCCTCCATCTTATTCATGGTAATTTTCCTGATGGAACTCTTGCCTATGATTTATGCATGTGGATCCTGTAGAGCAAACGCTGTGGGTGTGTTATTCTAGCATGCTGTGGGGATAGTGAGGGGCTCGGAAAGATGAAGCCACAGTCCTGTCTAAACAGGGAGGATCTTACCTGATAGTGAGGGAAAGATGATTCCCTCTGACCTGGGATGGGGGAAAGGTGGTTCCCTCTGACCTGGGATGGGGGAAAGGTGGTTCCCTCTGACCTGGGATGGGGGAAAGGTGGTT